AATGATGTTATTTTATTCAAATAATGGTTTTGGCCATCTAGGAATGTTATTACCATTTCAATCATCTTTCTTCCTAGAATAAAGGTAGTTCCACAGTTTGTGAGCCAAGCTGAATATTTTTGTGACATGTGTGCCAGGTCGTAGTAGAGCTCTCTCAAGAACCACAAACAATGCTTTGGCATATACAAGCCCTACACATCAGCAGTCTAAAACCTCATGTAGCACTAATAATGAGCTGAAATTTGGAGCGAGGGACTTTTCTCACACATACTTTGTGTATTCAGACCTTGATTCGGTGAAACACTGAAGCTCATCTGCGCTTTTAAACTTTTGCACATTTAGCTCCTCCTGTTGACTTCAGATTTTAATGTCCATGACTTTACAAGCCTGAATGTAAATGCTTTTTCTCCTCTGGAAAGGCTTTTATTGGCTCTGAACTAATTATCATTAAGAACTTTTTATTTATTTTACAAGTGTTGCTATAGGAGAGAGAATATTAAGAAGCACACTGTTTCTTCCATATCATATGGATCTTTGGGAATCTATGGAATTTTGACCTGGGTACAAATGTTTCATAATTCTTATGGCTTCACCAGCTAATATGCGTTGTTGAGAAGCTTTAATACTTTCATTAGTTTCTTTGATCATATCAGCAAAGGCCTTTTTGGTATTCTGAAAACCATACTTAAGATCAAAACTGTGCTGCCATAGCTCTTGTTTGCAGTTTGCTTCAGAACAGAGCTTCAAAGGTCTGGAGGGGGAATTAAACTCTTTGAATGCGAAATAAAATTAAACTATGCATATTCAGTGTAGTAAAATGCGTGCCAGAGACCAGTACCCAGAAGGAATTGCTGTGTAGGCTTTGTAGTTGTGGCCAAAGCAGAGGTATTTTTGGAGTGGGTTTTTGAGTGCGTATGTTTATATATCTTTTGTTCTGGGAACTTCCTCTATTGAAATTTACTTTGACAAAAATCCTGACTTGTAAACTCATCGAGGAGAAAACCAAAGTTAAAAAAAAAAAAAAAAAAAAAAGGAGAGAAGTCAGAAATAGTAGTAGTTTTATCTGATGAAAAGCATGTTTTTCCCTAATGTGGAGGGAGGACTCTGAGCTTAGGTTTTTTTCATGCAGAGCTTCAGCCCAGCACTCAGCTTGAGAGTGTTTCCAGCTCATTCACATACAAACACCTGGATAGCATAACTGACCTCAGGGAGAGCTGTGCTCATTAATAAGCATTTTTAGGACTTTACCCTAGGATAAAAATCATGTCAGATTTTTCTCCAAATTAGTTGTAACAAATGAAATCGTAAGTCACCGTGCTTTCTAGATTAGTCACACTTGGTGCACTACCATCTTGTCCCATTGACTTTCTTAGTCTCACTGTTTCTTTCAGTTTTGGTTAATCTGTAAGCGCCATCCTTACAGGATGTGTTGGAGATGAAGGATCTCTTAGATTTTCTTCCTCTGAGATATGAAGTAACATCCTAAATTTGTGTCCTCAACAGCAGCTACTTTCTGTTACTACAGATAGCCCAGCTGAGCTACTTGTGGGTGCAAGTACTAGGCTTAACAGTCTGCCATGTTCAGACTTGGTCATTGGGTTGTGTCTGACAACAGTTCTCTTAGCCCTGTATTGGGCACTGGTGAGGCTGCACCTTGAGTGCTGGGTTCAGTTTTGGGCCCCTCACTCCAAGAAGGACATGGAGGTGCTGGAGAGTGTCCAGAGAAGGGCAATGGAGCTGGGGAAGGGTCTGGAGCACAAGTGTGCTGAGTTCCCGGCTGAGGGAACTGGAGTTGTTGAGCCTGGAGAAAAGGAGGCTGAGGGGAGACCTTCTGGCTCTGTCCAAGTCCCTTGGAGGAGGGTGTAGAGAGGTGGGGGTGGGTCTGTTCAACCAAGGAACAAGTGACAGGACAAGAGGAAATGGCCTCAAGTTGTGCCAAGGGCAATTGAGATTGGATCTGAGGAACTGGAAGGTATTGTCCAGGAGGGACTGAAGAGTCATGTAGACATAGTGCTGAGGAACATGGGTTAGTCGGGGACTTGTCAGTGTTGGGTTAATGATTTGACTCGATGGTCTTAAAGGTCTTTTCCAGTTGAGGCAATTCTGGGATTCTGTGACTCAGATTTTTAAGACAGACGTACAGGAGAGAGGGAAGATACTGCACGACACTGCAAGTCTACTTAAAATGTCTTGAATGGCTCTGTGTTTCCTTTTGGATAGCATCGACTGTGCAGGGATATTAAAGCTCAGAAACTCTGACATCGAGCTACGCAAGGGAGAGACGGACATCGGTCGGAAGAACACGCGCGTGCGGCTGGTCTTCAGGGTTCACATCCCGCAGGCCAACGGCAGGACCCTCTCCTTGCAAGTAGCCTCCAACCCCATCGAGTGCTGTAAGTAGCAACGAACATCCTCCTCTTGCTGGGTATCGTGCCACACCACACTCAGGCTTTGTCCACCAACACACTCTACATGGGTTTTGCTTTACCTGTCTATTCAGTGAATCTTAATCTGCTTTCCAAAAGCACGTGGTTTATACTGAAGAAGAAATACCTGTGTCTTAGAAAAAAATGTGTAGCTTTAGGCATTGATTTCTATAGGAAAGACTGCACTTAAAGCAAAAGTAGGATGCACTTAAGCTAATAGTAGACGTAGGAGTGACAAAGCGCTTTGCTTTTTTTTTTTGTGACTCCCTGTCACACAGGTAACTGCTGTAGGAGTTTTGGAAAACAGGTATTGTGTCCTATTCACTCTCTGTCTCCCCATCACAAAGCAAAAACCAGCAAACAAAACCCAACCCCTCTGCTGCAGAGCTAACAGTGTAGGAGAGCTGACACACTGGCACAAGCTGCCTGCAGCTTCAGAAGACCTCCTGAAACTAGATTTCCGCACTGGGGTCTCTTTGCTTGAACAGACTGCTTTTTATCAGATACACCAGGGCATCCTCCAAAGACACCTGTATCGTTCTTGCTCCATAAGCCTCGTCAGCCTCCCACATGCAAACAAAACCTGTTTGTTTCGTGTAGCTTTACCACTCCATCGTAAGTGGTGGAAATTGAATTTCAGTCTAACTCCCTTTGATAATTTGGTCTGCTGGATGGACTGAAACAGTTTTTTAAGGTTTTGTTGGATTCCACAAAGTGGATCTGATGCTGACAGAGTAGGGATTAACTTAATGTCTAGTGGGTGTATGGAGGGTGGGGAGCAGAGGGAATGAGAAGGAAGGGTTGACTATCCCTAACCCCGTGCATGCTGGAGGGTTGTTCCCACACTTGTCCCTGCATCACTGCCAGGCTGGAGTCCCACACAACGTCTGGCGGGTCCTGGAGCATGTCCACATTCGATCTCTTGGAGGCATGGTGCTTTTTCAGGGATCATTAATAGAGGGGTTGCAGGAAAGAGCATCCCTGCACTCCTCTTGCAAAAGCAGTGGCATTGGTGACAGGCTTTCAGACCAGTGCCAGTACTCCATCCTTACACCCAGGGTAGCACTGCTGCCACTCTGGTAGTTCAAGTCTGTGAGAGAGGCAGAAGTAGGAAAGGGTAGTGCTGTTAGACCAACAGTGATAGAGCTTCTCCTTCACAGTCATTCATTTAAATAAACAAATGAGCACTGGCAGTGGGAAGGGAGATAGATGAAGATAAACTGGTGTTATTTATGTAGAATGGCAGAGCCTCCTTACCAAGAGCAGATAGACTGGCATAAAGCCTTGTCTTCTGTCCAGGATATGGATGAGATGAACAATTTCCCCTTTGTTTCTTATTCAAGGGCAAATTCTAGGCCAACAGGCAAAGCAAAAAAATGTGAAGAGTCATGGTTTCATCCTACTCCTGTTGATGAGAGCTTTTCCATTGCTATGTCACAGGATAAAGCACAGTTTAAATACATCCTGACCTGGTCTGTGCAAAGGTGCCAGGCTCAGGAAACCACTAAATGTGAGCTCAACTGGATTTGTGTCAGTGAACTGCAGTTTTGAGGGTTGTGTCACAAGCAAAAGCATGGTACGTGCCTCTTGAAGGGAGCGGAAAACAGGAGAAAAAAATAAGTGCTAGTGTTATTTCCAGCGCAGAACGTGGAATAAGGTGGTGCCAAAAACTTCATGCATCTCTTAGTGCATGTGACACCAGGAGGAACTATGTAATCTGGATAAAATGTCACGTCATCCCTTGAAGCAGAGCCACGCTCACTCCGTGTCCGAGTTAAGGGGGACAAAATATGTGCCACGAGAATACCAGGTTCTATTTGCATGGATCCACGTGTGCGTTGGCACTCAGGTGCTGGTGGAAACACGCTCTCTAATCTGTGAACTTCTGCTGGATCGCAAGGCCCGTGGCTGCTGTTGCTGCTGCTAGACAGTTTGCAGAATTGACAATATGGTGTTTAGTGACTGAAACATGTTTTGGATGTGGATGGTCATCTTGTTATGTGTGCCTGGTCAACACACGGCATATATGTTATAGATAACATAAGAGAAAATTGTTTTATGTAAACAAATTTCAATAAAAATACACTTTTTGATAGAGTACAGATCAAGCTGAGTTTTAAAACAGCTTGTTCTTTGTGAACCTTTTGAATCTTCACTGCTATGTTTAATATCGCTATTGTTTACTATCAAGGTACTTGAAAACCAACCATGTTTCCTGCAAACCTTCTGACCTTTCTTTGTTTCTATATCAAACTCAGCTTAGTTTATCCAACTCAGCTTAGCTTATGAGGTAAAGCATTAAGTTACTTAGTAATGCAGTATTTACTTGTTTGTTTGTGTGTGTGTGTGTGTGTGTGTTTGTGGTTGCTTATTTTTATTTTTATTATTTTTATTTTTTATAACTCTCTAGCTCAGCGATCTGCCCAAGAACTGCCTCTGGTGGAGAAGCAAAGTACTGACAGCTTTCCTGTTACTGGAGGGAAAAAAATGATACTGACTGGCCATAACTTTCTGCAAGACTCCAAAGTCATCTTTGTGGAGAAAGCTCCAGGTATGTCTTTTCAATCTAGACTCCAGTCTGCTTCCCCCCGCCCCACCCCCGGCTGTTTTAAAATCTCTGCCAAATGATGAAAGCATAAATATGGTAATGACATTTTCTTCTGCATGTAATATGTTTTCCATGTCACTGGGCAGAGCTGTGAAAGTGATCTGAGCCATGCCTGGTGCTGAGGTTTCACAGGTGTAGTTACAGGTAGATAATAGGGACGTTAAAAGCTGAAGTTAGGCATTTGTTTTTGTGACAAACTGTGTCTGTAGCAGGTAGGACCCATGAAGGGTGTTTGAAACCTCAGGTGGCATGTCCCCATAAAACCTGCCAGGTGGAGCATCTTGTTAAACCTTGCTGTGATTTGTGGAACAGGGAGTGGTGTTGCTGGTGATGTGTGCGTGCACATCTGTCTCCTGTGATAGTCGAGACCGGTGGCATTTATGATCCCCTGGCTGAGGAGGGCTTGCACATGCCTTCATTCGAAGGACATGTTTCTGGTTTACCTTGAGGACTGGGAAAGGACTGCTGATGGCTCCCCTCTTGCAGGGTGCTGCTCCTGTGTGGTGCAGTGGTGGTAGGACTGGTCCTCCCTGGGAAGAGTCCCTGGCCTGGCTGAAGCAGGGCAGGTTGCACGGGGGAGCTGGAGCTGGAGCAAGAGGTGTCTGGAGGAGTGGTGGGTCACAGGGTGACAATGCATAATGCATATGAATGCCCCCAAGGGAAAAGGGGGTGGGAGCGGAGCTGTGAGTCAAAGTCAGGCTCTGAAACAAAATTGTCAGGGGTAGGTTTGAGTCTTGTTTTGGAAAGAGTTTCCGTGGTGCTGGCAGAAGCTATGGATTCCTCAGCTGCCTGCTGAAACTCCCCCTGAACTTCAAACCCTCTTGGGCGCTCCTCAGGCCGCCAGCTCTGGCTTTGATGCTGTCCTGCTTAACCCTCCATGTCCATGAGGTTCCCGTGCCGCTCCCCTGCCCACGGCTGCTGCCGGTGATGTGGGAAGTTGGATGGTGGGAAGGGATGGCGAGGTGTGCATGGGAGGCTCTGGAGGTAAAGACATCTCAGTAGATGTGAGCTCAGTGGGCTCAAGTCTTCAGCAGAAGACTTCCCTGAAGTTCCCCTGGCAGAGTCCTGGGTTGGTGAGGTTTAAGTCACCAAAAGTGTCCCTGCTGATGGCAGGGGGGTTGGAACTGGTTGATCTTTAAGGTCCCTTCTAACCCAGAGCATTGCATGATTCTATGAAGTGTGCACGGGATAGAGGTAACACCCCAGCTCCTCAGCAAGAACTGGTCAGCGCCATTCCTGTGACCCCTGGGCACTGTGCCATGTGCAGTCAGGCTGTGGCCATGAGGTGGGCAGAACACCCTTCTTGTTTCTTAAAAGGATTTTTTTTTTTAAGGAAAAAAGGGAGTATTGCAATTAAAAAAACCCTGGAACTCTGCTCTTTGTATAGCTTGAGGGCAAGGAAGAGTGTGACTGTCTATTTCATATATAAACTTCCTTCATGGCACGGAAGTGGGTTAGCATGACGTGTCAGGAGCAAGGTTCTGGATCTGTCTCACTACAGGAAAGAAACCACATTACAAGGTGCTTTCCTTCATACTTATTTTCTCCGCTTTTCCTCTGTTGATTTAGAAAAATTTTGAAGTATCACATCCCAACGGATTATGATGGTGATGCTACTTGTCCACCAGCAGGTACCACAGTGTGGATTTGGACACTGTCTCCCTTAGCACGAAGTACACCAAAAGCAGGATGTTCACTGTGTATAGTCTTAAATTACAGAAATGCAAAACAGGTCTAGCCTTGTGCTTCTTAACCAGACAGATGCCTCCCTCGAGCAAAAGCAATTTGAAGCTGCACAGAGACAGCATCTAGATAGAAAATCATTTATATAAGCGACATTGTTTTCAACCTTGGGAGAGGTGAAGGAGTGTACTGTTGCACACACACTGAGCGTGCTGATGAGGAAGAAAAATGATTGAAAGGCCTTTCTTGTCACCCTGAAAAATGCCTGGGGTGAACTTTTTGGGGGCATGGATTGGCAGGATGGAGCAGTGATCCTCATGCTCTCCTCCCCTTGGCATGGAGTCACTCAAGGGAGCCCATATCATCCAAGAGTAAACAAGATCATTAAGTCAATATTAAAAGATCTGAAACTGAAACTGTCCTGCCTGGTTTTAGTAGCCTCAGTGTAGACTTGCTGCAGTTGCAGGCCACTACTGCCTTGTGGAGGTATGCTGTAGGGGACCAGCCTTTAAACTCCAGAGCGTTCAGCGTCACCGGGAGCTGCCATGGTGTCACTAGGAATGGCACGCAAACACCAACGCTGATCCAGGCTGAGCAATTTCTAGAGCTTCTGTGACGAGTTATGTGCTCCGTTGCCAACAGCTCCGTGCATTGGGAACAAACAAGCTCGATGTGTTGTTGTCAAATGGCTCTGGCTCAGTTTTTGAGCAGAGTTACTGTATTTAATGTCAAATGAACAAGCATTACCAGTCTTCCCTTTTGAAAATCAGCACGCGGTGTTTCTTTCCCTTTCAGCCCTTGCACGTCTATGAAAGTAGGTCAAGAGAGGGAACACCAGCGTAGTTTCTCTTTCTCTTAGGAAGCTGGTTATGAACTTTTGTGATTAGCTGGAGACATTCATTAGTTTTGCTGCTGTTACTGCTTTTGTTTTTGAATTTGAAATGTTAATCACATTCCTGGTGAGTAGCAGCCAAACGCAGCTTTTACGAAGTAATAGATCACAGGAATCATTGCACCCATAAAGAGAACATATATTTTATATAAAATTTAAATATTATACTACATGAGCTCATGTCTTCAGTCCTCATTCGGGTAGAGTCCCCAGGCTGGGAGGCAGTCTCTGGGAGCTCCTCTAATTCATGCTAGTCTGCATACTTAATTGGTTAACACAAAGAGTTCAAGAACACTTTTTGTTTGCCCTTCCCCTCTCCCCCCCCCTCTTTCTGTCTGAATAATTTCTTTAAGTCTGCCTAGTGCATTGTGATCTGCTGAATGTTTTTCCAAGCATGAGTCCCAAGCTTTCCGTCTTCAGGGTTAGCCCTCAGCTGTTGGAGTCTTGGGAGGAATGGCATTATCCTGGCCTCCTTGCGTGGGGAGTCTGTCTGAGCAGTGACTCATACAAGAGGGAATCCCTGAAGAATGATCAAATCAATCTTTCAGATGGGAAGGCAGCGGCTTGGTACTTTCAGCTTAACCCCTTACTGGCTGCTTTTTGAGCTGTGAAATGTACTAAATGGAGCAAAATGTACTTTACAGCCCTGCAACTCTGCGGCTCACAGAGGAGGAAGGAGGCAGCTGAGGGATGGAGGTGCATGGAAAGGGTGGTGGGAGGAGCACAAGGAGGATCTCCTCAGGATGGAGAACCCCTCATGGTGTGGTCCAGCACTCAGGTGGAAGGCCACTGCTTTGGATAAATAATGAATCTTTTCAGAAGCGGGCTAAAGTTTGCTTGAGCCTTTGACAGTACCATAAAAAAGTTCTCACGTGTTCAAATGAGTCCTTATTTTACGGGATTTTGGTCAATGTTTTATTGCTCGCACATCAGACCATATTTTCTAGTGATGAACGATGGTATAAACCAACTGTCCAAGCAGCCTAGTGGTAGTAAAACTGTGAGTGCTGAATGTGCTTTGAGAGGGTTTGCTTTTTTAACTGCAGAATTTCCTTAGGCTGGGGAGTCCCACAGTGACTTTATCTCTTACAAATTCCACTAGTAATTGTTTTTCTTACCTTCTTTCACTTTCTGTCTTTCTTTATAGTCATGCTTTTCTCTTCCTGAGTTTCAAAAGGATCTTGTGAGTCTATGTGTCACAGTTGTTGGGTACTAGGTTGAAGACATCTAATACCAATCTGGTTTTCATCAGAATTAGTGCTTTTTAAAATATAAAAAAGTCTACAACCAGGACACTGGCAAGGGCCCTTGATGTCTGTATGCTGGGATTTGCTGTGGAGGCAAGGTGTGCGTTGTAGTTACTAAAGTGGATGAAATGGAGTTGATGTTTGTTATCTGTGGGAGGAGGTGTTTGGCTAGGAGGGACAAAATGTTCCCTGTCTAACACAGGCATCTGCAAGAGTGAAGATCATGATCTCGAATTATAAAAATTACTTGTCTTTTAAAAGATATCTTTTAATTTTTTTTTCTTTTATTTCATTTCTAGATTATAAATGTAGCAGGAAACAAAAATCTTAAAGGAAGTTCAGAAAATGCAGAGGTGTTTGGAGAATATGTTTTAAGAACTATATATCTGTCAGCTACCTTTTTTTTTTTTTTTTTGAACAACTTCTACAAACGCTGTGTATTTGTTTTCAAAGCTAGTTTTTCGAAGGTAATATGAGTTACTGAACACAAATCAGCATAAAAACCTAACAGAAATGACCAGACTGCTGGCTCCTAGTGTATCAGATTATGATTAGTGATCTATAAAACTGAGTGCAGTGGAAAAATCCTAGTTTCTCTTCACTCAGTTCACAAAATGTTTCCTGTAACTCATGAGTGAAAGGTTGCTGATGAGAAACAAAGCCAATATCCCAAGCACCAAAGCACAGGAAAAATACGGGTATGTCTTCTTGGCACGCTCTAGGACATTGTAGAGTTGCCCAAGATATTTTGGGATTTAGTCTCACACTAAGATTTGAAAGAGTTAATCTACCCCAAAAATTGTTCCTTGCTCAAAAATTGTTCCTTACTCCTGCAGCTAGAATGATTTTCGCACTGGAACTAGCTCAAGTATTTCTGGACTCCACAGATTTGGCCAAGTCTAGACATACCTAAGAGATCAGGTTAAACTGACTGAAATCTTCATTATTAGCAGGTTGTGATCTATGTGAAGAAATGGGTATTTGGTGTAGTATTATTAATTATCATTCAGTTGAGTTTCCACTAGTTAAGTTAGAACTCCAAACCCATTTCTTTGGGTTTGTGCTTAGTGACCAGAACTCAAGGCAAGAGTTTTAAAGAGCGAAAAGGCAGAAATGTTAAC